AGCAGCTGCTGCAGCCGCTGCAGCCTTCTCCTTCTTATGCTTTTTGTGTTTCTTGTGCTTTTTATCCTTTTTATGCTTCTTATCCTTCTTTTTCTTCTTCTTCTTTCCGCCCCCTTCTTGATCTGAATTCTGTAACAAACAATCCGACAGGTATTACAACTCATTCCTAAGGCTTCCAAACGTTGTTATAAGCAGCCCACGACCATCCTGGGAAATCTGAACGGACTGAGCAACCCCTGAAACTCGGGGAAAGTCACATTCCCAACCACCTGACAGAAGGAAGCCTTGCAGGCAGGCAGTGTAACGCACGGCTGCGCGGCGTCTGTTTAAAACAGAGCAGCACCACGTCACCTCGACATGCTGCTCGCAGCAGTGATGGGGAAGCTCCTGCATAAAAATTAATACTGCAGGTGGAGTCAAACTCCTCCAAAGGCTCCTCCTGCAAAGAATGGAAATGTCTCCAGGAAATACCTCAGGGGAGGCCGAACAACCTGTCCCCTTCCTATTGCGAACAGCCTGAGGTTGCACGTGAGACTAGCGAGCATATAGACGACCTCCTCACTTCGTAGGCATTCAAACTCATGAAATGGGGAGGTCTTTTCTTCCAGAGGGTAAAATTTATACCTCATGGCACCTTTTTTTCCTGACTCAGAGGTGTCAAGTTTGAAAAATCTATGTTCCAGATCATTTTTAAGACCTTTTTAATTACAAAAAAATCACTCCATAGATTTTCATTTTTTTTCCCCCACGTGAATAAGCCTAGAGCTGTTCAGCAGCCAAGTCACTAAGAAAATAACTTGCCATACAACCCCAAACAGTATCGCTCTTATCAGCCAACAAATACCCTTGCAGGTGATGGGCTCTGAGTTGGGCTTTTAGCCTTTTTTGCAGGTGACCAGTTTGCAGAAGGGGAACGAGAGCGAGTCGGAGATGGAGGCCCTTGATGTTTTTTCGGTGCTGGCTCGGGTGATCCTGACGCAGACCGTGAAGACGACACCCGTCTCGCAGACCGTGGACTTGGCGTGGAAGGCCTTAAAAAGAGAAGGGCTGCACTTAGACTCTAGTTTAGAGACAGAAAAGCCAAAACAAGACACTAAAAATTAAAATCATCAGAAGAACATATGCTCCTAAGTTGGTTAAGCTGCCACTTAAAAAAGGATGAGTTCCTTTGCTGGCATACGTTACAAAAGGCAAAACAACCTAATGCTGCTCTGGATCCGTAATGCAAAAGGATATTGCAACTTGAGAGCTTGTTAAACAACACCACTACGGCGGTTCAGAAATGATTGCTCCCTTTCTTCTTATATGACTAATTTATAACCACATTAGAAGTCAAGAGAATAGCAACGCTATTTTATCGTCCAATGAAGAAAGAGTGCAGGACGTTACATTCAACTACATTTTCTTTCGGAAAGAATTAACAAGCCAGCACCACACTTTTGAATGTCTGCTCGTAAGAGCAGTTTATCTTGGATGACCACTTATGAAATGATTTATGAGCCAAGGAAAAGAGCTGGCTCCCTTCCACAGTTACCTTCAAAATAAAAAAGTTCATTTTTCTCTAAACAAAGCTAGTAACAAAGCATCCCTCAAACGTCTTTTCACCTGCTCACTCCCAGTGCTTTGTTGTGCTATTAAGACCCCCCCAAACTCTACCTAAAGCCTCTTTAATGCTTCTCCCCATGTTCCACTTGATTTTAACACATCTAATCTAATAAATTTCCGAAAACCAACATTATGATGGTGGAAGCTGAAAAGAGCCACCAATGCTTGAGCAAGCTCGAGGAATGAGAACCATTTTACGTGACTCCCTAGCTATTACCACCGCCTTGGAACAAAATTAAGGATAAAAAAAAAAACCCCTCACAAAACCACCACCACCAAAGACGGATTTTTTTACTTTGTCTTCTTAGGTTCTGGTGTTCTTGACACCCTCCTGATGGGTCTAGTGCTTGGAGATGGAGACTGTCTTCTCTGGGGTGAAGCTGAAGCTCCCCTTCGTGGCGGCGGTGGGCTTGCAGAGGTATGAGAAGCTCTAGGCCGTGGTGAAGGTGAATGCCTTTTGTTTTGTGGTGGAGAACGTGTTTCCCGATTGGACCTACTGGGAGGAGATCCCTTCCTGTGCTTGGAAGATATCGAAGGTGAACGCCTTTTAGCAGTTGGTGAGCTCCTCTGTTTCGGCGGTGGCGAATGGGAGACTCTGCGTTTCGACTGTGGAGAAGGTGATGCCCTTCGTTTAGGCGGGGGAGGAGGAGAAGCTGTTCTTCTCTTCGGTGGTGGTGAAGGAGAATATCGTCTCTGTATCGGCGGAGAGTATCTCCGTGGAGAAGGCGAGCGTCTGCGTGGGGGTGGTGATGGAGACCTACACAGAAAACGAACGTTCAGGGTCCACACAGGCATGTGAATAAGTTACAAGTGTCTCACAACTTGCCCAAAGAGGGGAAAAATTCCTCTAAAAAGTCTTTCCAACTTGACTTAATATCAAACTTTTTCAAAATCAGCTTAATGGGTGC